ACTCCTCTTCAGCATCTTTCTTTCAACATGGTGCCCCCACTGGGCCCCCTGGGAACCAGTTTGGTGTGGCAAAAACGCCTCTGTGGCGGCTTGTTCCACCAAGTTCAATCGCAAAAATATTTCGACCAGGCGATTGCAGGTCACATCGATGATTGATTGATTGATTGATGGACCAGCTGATTGATGGATTGCCATAGGAGTCTATGACTTAATTATGGAGTATTCGATGGAACGGAACATATCATTTCATGAGAGTATTTATGTAGTTGAATAAGACAAAATACAAATATCTAAGACCATTGTCCCGTTCCTAATGTATGGGGGGATGGGGACACACTGTTTACACTCTCAATATATCGGGGGATAGGGACACACTGTTTACACTCTCCTTCTATCAGGGAATAGGGACACACTGATTACACTCTCAATATATCGGGGGATAGGGACACTCTGTTTCATTCTCATTCTATCAGGGGAATCCACTCTCAATATACCAGCGAATAGGGACACACTGTTCCAATCCAAGGGAGTCAGGGAATACAGGGAATATTCTCAGAATATGCAATTTAAAAAACAAAGAAAAATATGTAGAAAAAATCAAAGCAATTTGAATTCATTATGCACAAGGTTTTATTATTCCTATCCTTTGTGGAATATGTCCTCGATTTCACGCCTGGGGGTTACCCCAAGGCATTGGAAAAACAATTATACGAATGCGGTCATCCATACGAGTATGCTTAATTATTTAGTGATTGCGATTGGGGGTAAAAAGGCGAATGCAAAAGCGTAGAAGACGAAGAACAGCTGACGCCTACGAATGCCAGAAAATGTCATGCTAATCATGTATGGGTACAGTCCCGCCATGAATTGAAGAAGCGGATTGAAGCACCCAATAGGTGGGTGGAGATATGCAGTCTCATATTTACAAAGATCAGCAGATCTCTTTCGTAACTAATTTCCTTAATTTGTATATGCTTCTTGGATCATTTTTCTTCATTATATGCTTCCTGGTTTCCACTCTTTATATCTTTTGCTCTGTCTAAGGACACTTTTATCTTTTCGCTTGCTTTATCCATTCTTTCGTTCTCCAATTATCGCTTTTCGCAGTCAATCTTCAGCTTCTATCTCTTCCTTCATTCCCTGCCTGACTTTTGTCAGGCACACATCGCATCCTGTCCTTGCGTCTCCTTGTTTCGACTCTCAACCCATTTTCATTCGTCTCTTTGCAACTATTATCCCATTTATCGTCACTTTCCCTTGGTTTTCTATCCTCATCTTCCACGCCATCTTCCGGCATCTGGCGGCCATGTCTTTTATTTTCTCTCTCTCTCTCTCTCTAGCCCTCTCTCTCGAATGATTTTTTTTTTTTGCGCTGAACACTAACCTTAAAGCGGCTCATTTTCCGCTGCTTTACCACGGGCATCGTTGTTGCCTCGTGCTTCGTGCCTCGTGCTTGCCTGCTCTCTCCTTCCTCTCTGCTTCTGCTTCTTCTTCGTGGCTTGCTGCTGCTGCTGCTGTTCGTCCGATGGATGGAATGGAGGCGTCTCGGGAGGAGGCACAGCCAGCCGGCAAACGCTGTTTTTATTTCTTTTCCCTTTTTGGTTTGTGTTTTATTTCAGGTTCAGGTTTTTCTTCTCTCTCTTTTTCCACACACAGACACAAACACACACACACACACACACACTAAATTTTCTATCGCTCTCTCCGTTGTTGCTGTGGTTCGTATATTTGACACTTCACTTTTAAAAAAGAATTACACCGAAAAAAAACAAGAGGAGAATTCATAAAGGATTATTGAAATACACGTGTCCCGTTCTCTGGCTGGTTTAACGGTACTGGCTCTCTCGCTCTCTCGCTCTCCCTCTCACTATCCCGCTCTCACTTCCACCCAACAATTGCTAGTGCAACTTGCAACTTGCAACAACAACAACAATAATGATGGGAACACCGCGAATATGCAACACGACGACGCCGGACGACGATTGCGAACTGAAAACAACAAAAAAAAATAACGTCCATTGAAGCGTGGAAATCAACGGAGGAAAAACTACAACAACAACAGCAGAAAGGAGGGTGGGGTGGGGGGGGGCTTGGGAGAGGGGGAAGTGCAGTGGCAATTCGTGTTTTGTTTTTGTTTTTGCACTTCTTCGTGCTTCAGTCTTCGTCTTTGGATTTTCCTTTTCATGGCGCTTTCCATTCCATTGTGTGCTTTTCGTTTGTTCCTATTATTTTTCCTTTCCTTCTTCTTGTTTCTTTTTTAAATTTTGTTTCTATTCCATTCGTTTTCCTTTCTATGTTTGCTGTGCTCAACTGCTTCCACTTCCCATTGCTATTCCAGGCGTTCTTCTGCTTCAAATAACTATTTTAGTCGTTCTTTCTCCTCTTCAAATTCGTATTCCAGCTTTTATTCCGCTCACCATTCCTATTCCAAACGTTCTTCTGCTTCCCTTTCCTATTCCAGTCATTCTTCTGATTCAAATTCATATTCCAGTCGTTCTACTGCTGCTGACCATGGCTATTCCAGTCGTTCTTCTGCTTTCCATTCTACTCCATTCGTTCTTTTGGTGTTCATTCCTATTCTAGACGTTCTTCTGATTCAAACTCCTATTCCAGTCGTTCTTCTGCTTCCCGTTCCAATTCCAGTCATTCTTCTGATTCAAATTCCTATTCTAGTCGTTCGACTGCTGCTGACCATAGCTATTCCAGTCGTTCTTCTGCTTCCCATTCATATTCCATTGAACGAATGCTCATTCCTCTTCGAGACGTTTTTCTGCTTCCCATTCCTATTCCAGTCGTTCTTCTGCTTCAAATTTCGATTCCAGTCCTTTTTTGTGGCCCCATCCTATTCCCGTTGTTCTTCTTTCTATTGTTCTTTTGTTATGGGTATCCTCACTCTTCTTCCGCTGTTTCTTCTTCTTCAACGCATTTCTCTTCTTTTCTTCCCTTTACTTCTTCTACTTTTTGATTTTTCCTCCATTTTCTATATAGCTTTTGGCTTGGATCCTATTCTTCTTCAATTTTTTATAGGTTAGGAGTCCTTTTTCGCTTTTCTTCTACCTCTTTTCCGGTAATTGGCTCGTTATTTTTGTTGTAGTTCTTCTAAGGCTACTTATCCTTTCTGTACTTCGTCTTCGATGCCTATTCATTGCTTGCTGTGTCGTAATTTTGGGCACCATTCGCCCTTGGGCTGTACCTTTTCTTCAGTAGTTTTCCGTGTCGTTTCTTTTCGTTCCTTTTCTACTGTTTCTACTGTACCATTTGTGGGCCTTCTTCAATGGTTATTCATTCCCCTTTTGTCCTCTTCTTTACATCTTCTTAAATTAATTTTCTTCCTATTCTTTTCGCCCTCCCTCAATCCTTTTCCTCCTCTTCTCTTCCTTTGCCTTTTCTTCTCAACATTTCCCTCTCGTTAATCTCTTGTCTCCTCCTCCACTCTTCCTTTTTTGCTTCTGCTTTAAAATTCTTCTGTCGACTGCATCGTCAGCGTGCCACCATTGTTGCTGCTGCGGCGGCTGGGGGGAAATTGTGTGCAGGATGTGATGGGGGGGGGACTGGGAAGGAAAATCACGCACCAGGACACGAGACAACGAAGGCCCGGCCGCCGAATCCAACAACGAACGTTTTACAACTGCCGCCGATTCGAGGCGCAGCTTCGTTTGCGGCTTGGCATCTGCCTCGTGCCTCGTGCCTCGACTTTCGCACGTTCCAATGTTTCCTTCTCAAGTTTTTCCGTTCTTTTTGGGGGGTTTTTTAATCGAAACCGTGGCTCCAACTGTACATGGAGATTTACCCAAAGATGTCTCCCTTTTGCCACAACAACAAGCCGTCGCAAGTATAATCAAAAAAAAACTGATTAATCGGCTCGAAAGGCAGAACAGCAGAGAAACAAGAGGCCAAAACAGAGGCCAAAGAAGCCGGCATAACAAGCAAGAAGGAGAGACACAATAGGTAGACACAAAGAGAGAGACCGAAAGAGAGCCAAACACAATTCAAAGAGAGCTGAAGGACAATACAACAAAAAACAGAAACAGAAAACAAAAAAACAAAAACCGTCACTCCCAATTACAGTAATTTTTCGAAAATAATTATTACTTTCGCAACACTGGAAAATTGTCACTGGGTACAGGGTTCACACACAGTTCTCGCGCAAGTTAATCGTATAAATAATAAATGAGATTTTTGTGGCGAATTGGCAGGCCGGGAAATTTTGGACACGCGTGTAAACAAGCAGAGCAACGCAAAGAGACAGGCCGTGACGCGACCTACGACTACATTAACAGTGCCAGAGAGAAAGAGAGAGTGTGAGAGAGCTAACCGTTAAGAGAGAACAATTACCTAAGATAGAGAGAGGGTGAGAGAGAGAGAGAGAGAGAGAGTTGTTATCGAAAAACTGATGGAGGAACAAGCAAGCAGAGCCGTAATGCAAAAACTGATAGTGGAACAAGCAGTTTTGCAAGTCTCCTCCCAAATGGACAAGCAGATGAGAGAGAGCAAGCAGTACTCAGAGCAAGCAGTTTTCAAGAGAGACTGAGAGAGAGAGAGAGCAGACCATCCACACGTGCATGACATGGCTCTGTTGCTGTTGTTCCGCATTTAGCCGGCTACAACGTCACTGTTAATAACATGCGGAAGCGCCAGCTGCTGTTGCTGTTACGTTACCTTTGAGATGGGCTGGCGGGGGTGGCGGGGGCTGCGGCGTCAGGCCAATTAAATGTTAGGTTATGTGCACATACATCATATTTGACGGACGACTGACGCCGGCGGTGGCTCTGTCTCGAATTAGCATCGAGATTGGCAACAACGGCGGGCGCACCGATATCGCTTTTGCCCCGCATCAGCAGTATTTGCTCCAAAAAATTTGCGTTAATTTGCAAATTGAGTGAAACAATTTTTAAACGCTTGTATCCGGCGCCCAGAAATCATCAGCAAGCGACCGACAGCGCAAACATCTAACAGACAGCCAGTCAATAACAGCAGGTGAGAATGGCTTAACATTAACAGGAGAGCGCAAGACTGTTAAAGAGCAGGAAGCAGAGCTGAGCAGTAGATTTCAGAGCACGACTGTTAACTGCAAAAGCTGAGCGGATTCTATGTTAAGTTTAACAGAGCATCGCAGCGTGACAGCCAGCAGCGCCCGAGGGTCGGGTGGGGTGGGTCTCACAGTGAGGCCTGCTCAATGAATGATGACGTTGCCAGATTATTAGATGTTTTTGGAAATGTATTTGTTTATATTTTTTGAAAGGTTCACGCCAAAAAAGATGAGGGATTGCAGGGGGGAGGGGGGGAAGGCAGGGCTTGTATGGATTGGGCAGTCAGTGGGTGGTTGGGGTAGGGGTATTGGGTGTTGATTGTACAGCAAAATCTCTATGTACTCTCTCTCTCTCTATCTCTCTCTGTCTTTTTCCATTTATGTATTGAATATATTTTGTGTCTGTGTGTGGGCTGCGATTTTGCCACATGCCTCAGCCCACAAAACGAGACGAGATGTTGACAACAAAAACAACACCAAAAGGCAGTTGTGTGTGTGTGTGGGGGGGCTAGAGGTTAGGTACCTCCAAAGAGGTGCTGGAAAAAGAGCGACAGAGAAGGATATATACCCCCCAGCCCCCACGATTTATCAAGGGGTAAACAACGGATAATTGGATTGTCCGCCTGAAAGAGATTATTAAACGGAGAACGAGAGAGAGAGAGAGTGAGAGAGTGCTGAAGATGTCCTCCTAAACATCCTATTGACTTGAAATGCCCTCTTGGCAGGACTCTACCAAGGATTTAAGGAACCCGGATCCTGGCTTTGCGGCTTTCTGCTTTGGCAGCTCCATTGGCCATCCAGCTAGCTTTTCTTTTGCATATGTACCATAGTCCCCTCTCCCTCTCTCTCTCTCTCTATCTCTTTCTCTCTTTTCACTGCATTTACGTTTTTCTTTTCTTTTGTATTCCCCTCTCCCTCTATTTTGCATTTCTTTTCTTTTATACGCTAATTTATTTTCGCTTACATCTTTCCCCTCTCTCTCTCTCTCTCTCTGCTTCTCTTTTCTTTGTCTATTTATGGGGAAAAGCATCTGCAAGTGCAACATCATCTGCATGTTGCATCTTCCACAAGAAATGTTTAAAGTTGCCTTTTGTTCAGACCGATGTCTGCCTCTGCCTCTGCCACTGCCACTGCCACTGACTACAGTTTCAAAGTGCAATAACCGTTTGCCATTAACCCATCGAGGGGTTTAGGGCCGCAGGAGTACCCTGTGTTTTTCCGTATACCCTGTTGTACAGCAAAGGGCTAGGGCACGGCATGTGCAAGGTATTTTCGATCCCCATAAATAGTATATCTTTATCTGCTTGAAAATCCAAGTAATCTTTATAAAGTGCTGTACAAAAATTTCCCATAAGCGACCGGCCACAAACAGCGACCCGTCGCTACCTTCGGGATTCGGAATGACTATTTTCCTTTAAGGTATATCATTATCATTATAATTCCAAAATAGAGAACCATTCGCACTTACCCGAATACCAATAAAGCGCGCCTCGAGCAGCTCCTGTTTCCTTGGATTCAGCGACGTTTGAAAGTGTTCCATTGTGTGATTATTATTTCTGATTCGGTTTCGGATACGGATTTCGTTTTCTTTTTTTTTTTTATTGATTTCAATTCTTAGAGTCTTTTTCTCCCATCGGGAAGGTGTTTTCTGGTCTTTATCACTAGTGTTTAATATGCTTTAAAGATAACATAATTAACATTTTGTTGATGGCTTTCATGGTGAATGCATTTGTTGGCAAAAAATGCCACAAGTTTTGTCAGAGCCAGACCAAAAAAATTCAAATTCATCTGGAAAAAAAAGTTAAGGGGTTTTTAAAAAACAAAAGTTGGATATAAAACAATATTACGTACATACAATATAATGGAATGGACTGCAGTAATTATTTTTATGGTACGTACTATCCCGTCTATCCCTGTCTTATCTTTAGTCTTATCAACAACTTCTTTGATTAATAAAATACTTATATTTTTAGATCGACGAGTCATTTAATACATTTTTAATGTTTCCGATTATTCTAACCAGAGGTCTATGTCCCCATTTCGATAATCTGTTGTCTATAAATAAAAACACACACTTTCGGGCAAAACATAACCATCTATGTATCTTTAAAGGGCATCAAATGGTTCGAAAGCCACCAAAAAATATTGGGTTCCACTCTAGGGTTAAATGTTGTGCCCAAGCTTCGCTCCCACCCCCTTTCGCCGTATTCTTCTTCACCACCTATCACATTCTGCTTGGTCTGCTTCTTCTACTGCCCTCTTCAGACCACGAATGACGCTTTTGTGATCGGCTTCATTCGCAATGGACGCGGACGAATGGCCAACTCAAAAGAAAAGTGCAAAAAAAGAAAAAAAAAAAGAAAAAAGATATGCGAACCGAACCAAAACTAGACCCACAATCGGCGGCCACGCCTCTAGGCGGTAGTCAGCAGCGCCACCAGCAGCCTCTTCACACACACACACACACACACAGGCACGCAGCCGGGTACAAAGTGCAATAATTTAAGGTGATGCTTCCACAGAGTGCGCTCGTACGTACTCATGATATATTGAAAGATTATCTTTCCCACTGTATTTCAATGTAGAAAATATTCATATTCAAAAAAACACCAGCCATATAGGCCATGCAGAGGTGCGGAACACCTCACCCCATACGAATACACCCTGGGCGGGCAGATGATGTCCAACGCAACACTCGCATAATCGCGAACACACACGAACACATACAAACACACCCTTATGTGGATCGTACACACACACACACACTCACACACATGCTCGTACATATGTACATACGTACCATTTGTGGATTGCTTTTTGCACCGGTATTTTTCTTCTTCTTCTTCTTACTTTCTGGGTTTACTTTGTGCTGTTTCCAATTTGTTGTTGCGACTGCTTTTTATTCCCCTAGTTTTGCTTTTGCGTTTGCTTTTTTCTCATATTTTTCTTTTTTTGCTTTTGAGCTGGTTATTCCCTTATTTTTACTGCTTTTGCGGCTGTTTTTTTTTTTTGTATTCTCACATTTTTATTGCTTTTTGCAGCTGATTATTTTTTAAATTTGTATTGCTTTTTCTACTGTATTTTTTGTTTAAAATATGTATTGCTTTAGCGGCAGTTTATTTTTGACCAATTTGCATTGCTTTTGCGATTGTTGTTGGTCCTTTTATTTTCCCCAATTGCGTTTGCGTTTGCTTTTCCCCAAAAAATGTTTGTTGATTCTGCATTTATCCAAAAATATTTCTTAGAAAATATTCATTTTGCTGTTTGCTTTTCCATTTGTTCACAATTTTGGATTTCTTTTGTTGTTGTTGTTAATTTCAGTCCATTTGTAGGGCTTTATGATGGCACGAGGACTGAGAGGGGAGGGGAAGGGAGGAGAGCCGCGTTCCATCAGCGCCGTTGCGAGCGGGTGAGGGGAGGCAGAGTCGCACCAACGTTTCAAGTACTACAACAATGGCTCTTGGATGGAGTGGAGTGGTGCGGGGGGGAATTAACAACAGAAACAGTAAAAGAAAACCCACACTCACACACAGTAAAGCGCACAACTTAAATATACTACATGTGTGTATATCCCCTCTCTCGCTCGCACTTTTGCCGACACACACTGCTGTTTGCGTTTTGTGCTTTTTCTGCCTTTTCGTTTCGGTGTCTTTCCTTCGCTTGGGTTTTCTTTTTTTGCGAGGTTAAGTTTTCCTTTGCTTTTGCCTTTGCTTTTGCAACTTTTGCGTCAGGCAGCCGAATTGCCGCTGCGCTGGGTCGGGAGGGCACGCACTGGGACTGGCTAGGGGCGCGGCGCTTCGTACGAGATGGGGGCCAACGAGATTAGCCGCTTAGTCGGTAATACCACTCTATAATAGTTATTCGCGTAAACGTTTTGGGTTTTATTTTGTGTCACAGTAAAAAAAATGAATTTATTTAGCCAGAAGCTAACACACACACACCACACTAACACTAAAGCACACACGCGCGAACAAAATGTGCTAAAAAATGCGCCCAGCTGTGTGAACAGTGGCGCCATCTGAAAAATGCCGGGCATCGATACTTTTGATTAAGTTTTAAATAATAGCTTTGCGGCTTGCGCTAACAGCACATTTTGTGCCATGTTAATCACGGCTTCATATCGGCACTACTCCGTGCTTGGGAAAATCTTGTAGGAATGCCATTTTAAGGCCTGTGGCATACCTCCCTTCGATTACCCCACTCATTGAGATAATTTGAGGTTACATTTTTTTTGTTAGCTCCACGAACATTATCCGTGGAAATCTAATCCACATATGGAAATCAGCGAGGAGATCCTGGCATCTTCAACGGAGGTAATGGGTATTTCCAAAGGCGATTAGGCGGTATGTTCGGTCTTCCAGCCCCAGTACCAGATGGTTGAGAGAGGGGAGAGCAGTCAGAGAGTCATCACATGGTTTGGGGGGAGTGGATCCACAGCGGCACAGTACCCTTGAGGCAACATCTGGAGCGAGATAAGCCGCTGGCAAAGTTCCTCGTAAATGCGATAGAAAATACAAATCTTCTGTGCTAATGAACCTGCAAGGGACCCTCGCGTCGAACTTCATCGGAATTCAGGCTCATCATCAATTGAATATTTTTAAATTGTTATCAATTCCGAGGAAAATTGAGCTTCATCGCATGATGGGAGGCTGCCTTTAAAAGAGCTACTAGTGCGGCCTCAAATATCAGTTTACTCCAAGTCTCCACGAGGAAGCAAAGTCAAAAATGTCCCCTTTAGTCCGCCTAAGGTAGGCACCTCATATGTGATTGAAATAAATACTTGAATAAGATCTAATACCTGGCCACTATTCCTTTCAGTTGCGTTTTGGCTCTTCTGGTGTGCCTCACAGGCACCATCAGTGCTGGTCCGATAGACGATGATCGTGCCCGCCTGAACCAACTCCTGAGGAATGCAGAACCTGCGGATGATGCCCAGCTGCTGGCGAATATCCAAACGGCTATTGCGCTGTACAAGGAATGTGTTCATTGCGCAGCAGATGAACATCAGGTGGACGACGATTTGGATCGGGAAGTCAAGAAATTTGAAGATGAGAACAGGACGGTGGAGGGTTTGCCTGCTCAGGGGGGATTTTGGTCATGCATTAGTGCGGCGGCAGATAGTGTACCCGATGAAGTCAAGGATCAGGCTAAGGAACTTGCAAAAACATCTGCCAAGGCTCTATTCAGCAAACTGGTCGATTACCTTAAGAAAATGCTAAACTAATGTAGTGGCAGTGTCAATTTCTAAGAATTACAAGAAATTATTTTGGAAAATTGGCAACCATTTTTGATCGAGTCTATCGTAAAGGTAACTATTTTGAAATACTTCAAATACTTTCAAATACTACTTCATCGGTATATTTCTGAGGGTCAGATGGTATATTTGATCGAAAAATCCTCGGTCACAATAGATTTCAAATACACTAGTGGTATCAAATAATCGATGGTGGCGCCATCGCATTGAACTTTTTTGATTTAAAACATCGATACTATCGTCATAGAATCGGGATCAAATAGTTCAATTTAAAAAGGGTTCTTAACGGCTTTTCAAGTGAAATAAAATGAAGATCTTTCCAGTGACTTTCAAGTGAGTCTTTGTAGATAATGTATTCATAAATCGGATAAAATTGTATGTATAGCGCTGAGGATCTTATTAGCTACTAATATTCCACCGAATATCAAAGTTAAGGAATAATTCTTCGGTATATTTGGAAAATAAGACAGTATATTTATATTCCAAATTTCATCCACCGGTATTTCTGAGGATCAGACGGTCACTCCTGCAACGAAAATATGAGTCGCCATTTTGAATGGACTATGAAAAAGGGTATGGATAACAAGCAAAAACATCCAAGGAAAATTGCAACGACAACATAGGTTGAAGACAAAATCGACAAGGTATATTGGAAAAATTGGGTTGATTTCGCCGTGCATGCGTTGAATTTTATATTAATTCAACAAAATAAAGTTTACAAATGCCCATAGTCCGGTTGACAAGCAACAAGTCTTTAAATATCACCACCACTGCGACTGCTTTTTTGTTGAACTTTTTTGCTTACCCCTTGTTTTAGTCAAAATAAAAAAAAGCAAGTATTTAAAATAAACCAGTCATAAAATGATGTGGACAGGACTGAGAAATCTATCTAGCCAGAAATATTCGACGGAATATCAAAAACAAGGAAGAACGTATATATGAACTTGAATTCGTCAGTTTATTTACGGTATATTTTTAAAATAAGACGGTATATTTTGGCATTTTTCTCAGGGTCAGACCGTATATCTTATCGGATTTTCTGATTTTCTTGTCACCATGTATAGCTCACACACCTTGCAAATTTTATGCTTTTCATGGTATTTTCCAGTATGTTTGAAGACGCGTTATGGACTCACCCTCTTGTCGAATGCACCAATGTAGAAAACTTGTAGAAATGCCACTTGGAGTTATGTCCCAGACCAAATCGAATACTAATTCGTGATCAGCATCGAATTCCTGATTGTTTGCCATCAAAATCTCAAATTTTTCAAAAATGTCGGATAAAAGGCATGCTAAAAAGTGGATTGCGGAGGTTTTTCACACTGGCGCTTCGATGCGGCTTATATGGAAAAAAAAGGTCAACAATGTTTGAAGCTGACACATTTCCTCTTCAGGTGTCGCCTTTAGTAGTTACATGAAAATGTAGTTAATATGTAGGAAATGCATAGTTAGCGTGTAGTTACCATGTAAGGAAATTAATTTAGTGAAAATTGTTGCTGACCGGTTTTGCTTAAACATTATTTTGTAAGCAATGCAATAAATATGAATGTTTAAATTGAGCCAGTCTTGTAGGATATTAGTTTGATAATAAGATAAAATTATGAGTTCAGACCTGAAGGTTTTAGCTAGCTAGTAATATTACGCCGATTATCAAAAACAAGGAATATGATGGAACTTAAATACAAATAACTCATCAGTATTTGTACGGTATATTTTGAAAATTGTGACGTATTTCGGTATATTTCACTGCTGCTCACAAGCAGGCCGACTATCAAAATTTCATCCAACGGCGGTAGTTGCGCGGCGCGGCAAAAAATACATAATAAATAAATAATAATAGATAATATTATTGTGGTAAAATTGTAACACCCGAATTTTTTTTCGCCCAAAAACGGTTTGTGGTCTCATTGTTGATCAAAAGTGCAGTTTAAAAAACACACACAAAGTCACAGGAGGAAAGCAGCGGCGAATCCTAAGAGAAGTACGTGAAAGAGTGAGAGCAAAAGCGGCGCAGCTATAAAAAAAAAAACAAAAAAAGTCATTACGCATATAGTTGTAATTTTGTTAATATTTTTGTATATTAACGCATCTGTATAGATTTTTGTGCGTGTGTAATTAAATTTTTTCAGCGCAGTGTAAACACTTTTTTACTTTCTTTTTCTGTGTTTTTTTTTGCAAACACAAAACTTACACGAACATTTGTCGTTTGCTCGTGTGTGTGTGATGGCTTTAATTGATTAATAGCCATATGCCTGTCCCGACGGTTGATTCCCGCTAGAATTGGTAATTGTTTGACAAACAAAATTCTTGTAAAAACCGCCAAAAAGGCAGCGCCGCAGTCGCCTGCAAAGAAAGCATCGGCAGCAGCGACATCAGCAGCCTGCTCCAAAGTGTGTTAATACAAGGTGAGGCATTCCCCAGAGTGCACTCTCACGCTTATCCCCTCATAGGGTTTGTAAGTGCGTGCAGGACACACACACGCAGCACCGGAGGTGGGACACAACATGTATGCGATTCGGGAATGCCCCACCTTCGTTTAATATACCTTTCCCCTCTCTGTCTGGCTTTGGACGCTCGTATGTGTATGTGTGCGTGCACAGCAAAAGGCAAAAAAAATAATAAAAAAAAGAAGCCAAGCCCAAAATGTATAACGGAATGCATAGCAAAAAAAAAGTGAAATTTCTCTGCACAATTTCTCACTCTCTCTTGTTCGTTTCGTTTTTGTTGCTCTTGTTGAATATTTAAATCAAAAATTATATTCGCTTATTGTTCACTCAATGACAGAGTGAAAGAGAGGGGGGGTTGGGGCGGCTATTCTTTCATTCAAAAAAGAACGAGGGAGAGAGGCTTTTTATCAACGGCTATCAGCGGAAATATTCGCTTCTGCTGCCGCACCCCGCTTGACCTTATTCTCTCACTCTCACACACACACACGCAGTCACCCGCTCTTTACGTTTCGTCTGCGGCGGCTCTCATTCCCTGCGGGAGGGCGTACAAGGTGCTGGCAGAGGGACCGCCCGCATTTTGCGGGTTGGCGCATGCTTCCCCACCCCCTTAAAAATACTGTTTTTTTGATAGTTTTTGATGTTAGGATGTAAAATATAACGTGGCCTATGGAGGGGGAAAGCCGACACATTTCTGATATTTCTCTGCGAAAATTTCCAAATTGACGTGTCGCGTCGGTAGGCTTCCTGCCTACCTCCCCCCACGCCATCTCCTATGGCGCTTTGGGACGTGCCAATTTTCAGATTCTCTCGCTAATCAGCAACCGACTTTGACATTAACGTTTTATCATCATGATCACAAACTTTATCACGCTTCTTGGTTGCTTGTTTTTTTCTTCTGGTTTTCATCTTTATCTTCATCACGCTTCTGGCTTCACGTAGACGTTTGCGTTACGTTACGGAGCCAGCTGCATGACACACATCTACAAATGGGTTTCAGATCTGCGTTTTACAGTTTTCAATTATGTTTTCTTATCCTCTCGCTACCTCCCTCACTCTCTCTATCGTTCTGTCTCTCTCTCTCAAGTTCAAGTTCAATTGCAATCCATCAATTTGTTGTGGTCTCTCTCTCTCTCCCTCTCTCTCTCGCTGTCTCAGATCTGACTCACCGTTAACGATCCTCAAATACAACATTGTTTTTTGTGTGTCACACACTAAACACAGTCATTCGTGCCTCTCTCCCGCCCTCCTTCGTTTCTACTAATTGTTGTTTGGTCGGTTACCAAGGGGCGTCAAAAGCTTTCAGCGTCGCAAAAGAGCGCAAAGCGAATGGAGGGAGAATGGGAATTATGCGAATAATGCGTTCTGAATTTCCCCCCCAAAAAGGCCACCCAAAAAAACACACACGAGAACTGTTTCTGCTGCGATGACAGCAAAAGATAGAGAGGGAAAGAGAGGGAGAGACTGAGGTGACCCAGACGCAAAGGCAGGCTCCCAAAACACCGTTATTGAGTTCATTGATTTTCAATTTTGTCTTTGATTTTATGTTTGAGCATTTTTATGTTTTTCTTTGTACATGTACACACCATAAATACCCTACCCTTCGCGCTATGGCCCACTAATTTGTGTCCGTTCGGTTATGGGAATGTTCCTCCTAGTGACTCTCGCTTCGGGTTTTCCCATCACTTAATCGAAAGACTGTTTATCGGATCTGGCGAGCTGCAAATTGGGAACAGTATGTCAGAGATAAGTGAGAGCTCGAAGAACCTGCTCTTGGAATTGGATTCCTTTGTGGGAATCGTAAACTTTAACCTTAATGTTGATTGGAAGACACACTTTTCTGTCAGTGGCAATATTTATTGTCTTTTGAATAGATTAACAATAATACCTAGAGGAACAAACAAAACCGAATACTGAATCATCATTATGGAACGCGGAGAGTTCGTTGGAGTATCTTTTGTTCTGTGTCGCCAAATGAGCGTCTTGAAAGCAAACCAGCAACAACTTAGCCTAATTTATAGCCATCAAGCTGTGATTTGGTCTAATTTCGTGCCTAATGGGAGTTCCGTCAGCAAAGAGAATTAGAGAGAACTACTCGTAGATTTAGGTAAAGTCTATTAGGGCTTGAAAGACTTTTCTGCTTCTGTTTTGTAGAGCAAAAAGATTGAAGATCAGTTGTTATTCCAACAAGATTTTACAGCTGTTATGAATAGCAGTAGTTACATCATCAACTGGCATTCCATGACTCCAACTTTACAGTATATATACAGGTTTTCGCATGGGTTCTCTTCGAAGCTTTTATTGCTTGGTTTTTGTGTGTGTGTTTTTATCGTCTCTGAAAGATCTTTTATCACAGGTTGACTCTGCCTAGGTTTTAATTATGGTTGCTCAGCACTCCGCCCCTCCTTTATCCTCTGCATTCAGCAAAACACTTCCCACGCATTGTGTTCGGTTTTTGTATGCCTTTTTTTGGTGTGAATTCAGTTGTTATTTCGCTGTTGGAACCTCTAGGCTTTTTATCGCCATGGGCAAATCAAACTTGTTCCCCAACATGACTCTACGCACAAGTTTTTCCTGCCTATGGTCCAAAGAAAGTTTTGTATCCAACCTATACAAGAAACAAATGCGAAACACTTTTTCAAAGTCAGGGAAATGGAATACGATACGATACGATACAAATCTCTGAATACGAATAACATTGAAAATATTCGTATTCGTATTTGTACGACATTGTGTATAGGATATAAGAAGAGATTCTGAAACAGATGCCGCCGATTCCCCTTACTTGACATTGAAAGCGTCGTCACACGCGACTGCGCGGCATACAGATAGGGGAGCTGACAGGGGCATTGTCAGAGGCTTTGACGCATGCCTTGGCTCGCTTCTAATGCTCGCATGTGAGTCACAAAAATGAAGTTTCCATGTCAAACATGCCTCAAAACATATCCTTCAGCAAGCAGTTCAATCGAATAAAGGGATTATACAAGATGGTCCGCTAACTCGCTTTAGGGTCTTATAAGACCCGAAAAGAGAGCGCATTCATCAGGCATTGAGCATTTCTCTTTTGGTTTTCACGTGTGTAGATTATTTATTTGCATTCCGCTTTGGCTCAAGTGCATTGAACCAAAGGCTAATCCAACGGCATCTCTGACAAAACGAGATAAGCAAAAAAAAAAAAAAAAAATGAAAAAAAGACAACACCCGTCTCGCACTTACAGCCGCGGAGCGAATATTAGTGGCTAGCAGTGGAATATACATACATATGTATATGTGCAGTGAAATATATGTGAATAATGTGTCGTGTTTTTTAGTTCCAGCTACATGTGTGTGTGTGTGTGTGTATTAGTGCTACTATTCTGTTGAACGCAACTGTAAACCGCGCTCTCTCTCTCCCTCTCTCTGAACAGAAGAGACCTGCATTTAATGATGCCAGGCAGCAGGCAAAAACAAATTCTCACACAGCCCAAGCACCGCACCACATGAGCGCAAAAGAAGTTGATGACAAGGCGGCGGCGGCGAAACAAGAAGGAATGTCTGCCCTCCGAAGGGGGGGCATGGTGGTCGAATCATTGCATACCCTATGTTGAAAAAAAAACAATCAAATCGAGACCAAGAATATACGCAAAATATTGACTCAAAGCAAACCTGTCTCTCTGTAGGGAGAGAGAGAGAGAGAGATACGTCTGTGCGTAAAACTGTAACTGTCTCCAGTGCAGTGCTCTCGCCCTCTCTCTCTCACACACACATGTGGCGGTTTATTGAACTTAATCTTGTGCGGAAGTTTAACAAAATCACGCCTCTGCCACTGCCTCTGCCTCTGCTACTCTCTCGGTCTCTCTCTCTCTCTCTTCTCCTATGGAGAATGCAAAAAAGACGCAGCGCAGCGCAGCGCAGCGGCTCTGCTCTGCCGCTATTGCAACTGTAAAGATTGCAAATGGCGCAGCGAAATAAATGGCATGGGAGGAGGTACAGAAGAGACACAAAAAATAACTTGGCATTTGGCAAACGTTGAAAATAAAAGAGCACAGAATAATCATTCAACGTTGGAGAGGGGCCGCAACGAGGGTGTGGCATTTAACAAATTACAAATAGGGAATGTTTTTAATACAGAAGAAGAAGCTTTAAAGCATATCTGTATCAACATGGAATATCGGAAACACCCCGAACATGAAAGGACTTTATAGGACCCCAAACTAAACACGTTTCCACCATGCCATTCCTCCCGAGGGATCCCCGATCAGTGAACTAAAATATCAAAAATCCTTTGGTAAATAAAGAAAGATTTCCATTTTTGTACTTTACAATGTAATGCGATATTTTTTGGATAAATTGTAATACAGTGCAACTTCCATATGGCGAATCTCAAGAAGAATTCCTTTTTGAAGAAATAAATTCGTTGTATAGAAAACTTTGTTGTATGGAAGCTCGTAAAAGAGAAGTTCGACTGCATGACGTCACAGAAAAATCAGCTGTTTTGCCAGAACCTCTCTCTCTCTCTCTCTCTCTCTCTCTCTCTGTAGAGCATCCCAATAATCCCAAAATATTTCTTGGGCCATTCAATTGTTTCCTAAACGAGTGCCGCGAGTATTATAAACATTTGCCCGAGACCTGTGCTGTGCGGTTCATAAATACACAAAGTGGTTTCCAGTAAATAGTGCTCTATTCCTCCACATATATGTATCTCTTTCCCGTTTGCGCTAACTGTAACTTTGTTGGCCACAAAATAGCTTCAAGGTTATAGCCAACAAACCGCAAAATGCTGGCAGGTGGGATGACGGCGGTGGCAGTCAACCAACCAACAAGCAGCAACAACTGAAATAAATACAAAATAAATTCATTAATTTAACAGTTAGGCTTCGAAATGAAACCTAGCGAAAATCCAAAGCAAAGCAAAGCAAAAGAGCAGAGGAAGACGATACATGGAACATGGAACTCTGACATGAATTTACGGCACACGCAACGCTGAAAGATGAGAAAAACTGTTAGACCACAAACAGCAACAACGAAAACAACAAATAAACAAAAGAATGATCCAAAGCAGACATCCAAAAGACGGCGGGCGAGATACATATGCCGAAGAAACAGATCCATCATTTGATCTCTTGAAAGATACACAAGCAGAGGTTCTAGGAAATCAAATACCTAGACTTTAGTACATCCAAAAAAAAAAAAAAATGGTTAAACGACAGACAGTACTTTCTATGGAATACACAAGATAAATCTAGGGTTTAGAGTCGTATCCTAACCGATTATAGTACAAAGATTTGTCAAAATCTTCACAAAGATTCTTATACTCTTGTCAGTGGCTCACAGAAGGCTTTAACCCTTAAGATACAAGATACACAAGTAGCTAATGGTTAAGTTCTCAGAATAAATGATTAATTTAAATTTTGAAAACCGTGTGCCGTAGTTCCAATTAGCCGAAACATTCTCGGAATAATGGTGGCCCAACGCGTGAATGTATCCGTTTGCTTAGGGTACATTTTAGCCGGCAGGCAATAGCTTGAAGTACTGAAATCCTCAAGGGATAACTCCTGGACCCATGTGCAGCCTGGAACCTGTAAATGTTAGAAGCACTGGAGGCATACCCTGAAGCATGATAAATGTAACACGAACTTGGTGGGCCGTGGGTCGCAAGGGCTCATTAATGCGACTCCACTAATGGAGCACAGTAGAGAAATTAAAGCCAAAGAGCACACGACGCTGCAGAGAGAGAGAGAGAGAAGGCCAGGCGTTCTGTGGGAACTCGTAATAGCGGTAAACTCTCTTCGTGCACCTTTAACATTAAACTCTCAGACTCTTGGATTCTTCACTCCTTCACCGCCCCACCCGAAAAAAAAAGAAAACCAAACGTAGTTGCACATGCCACATCACGCTTCAGTAACCACCCACAAAACTTAGACCTGGAACGTACTACCGCCAGAAGGGAGGGGAAAGAAAGGGCCATGGAAAATGCTAACCAAAGGAACCACCAACCAACAAAAAAAAAAAACAAAACTAAACGCAGACACAATGACGTCATTTGCAACAACCACCAACAAAATCTACACAAGGTGGAGGAAAATCGAATGGGAAAATGGGGGAAAAATGCACGACCCCCATGCGAATGAGTAATAAACACAAACCGGACGGAGGCTGGAGGCCCCGTCCCCCCCTATAATGTGGAGTATCCAAAAAAAGAATTAAGTAAACGGCACGAAAATTGCCTCCAATTGCGAAAAACTTGATCAGCTCTATGTCTAGAGAGATCTGTTAAAAATCAATTGAGAGCAAATAAATATTGAAATGCTTTTGGCTTAATGCAAACTAAATTATTAGCAAAAGAAATGAAATCCAAGTGGAAAGGGATCATCATTTTTCGTTTACGATTAAAGTGTTATTATGGGGCTGAAAGACTCGTAGGAATCGTTACAATCAAACGAATACACAGCCGAAAACACATCCCCCTGCAGCGAAGAGTTTATTGTGGCTATATTTTCCATATAATATGGGATATGTGACCGCTTGCTTATGGGAACTTTGGACAGTGTATCCAACGTGCCAGAAACTATCAAATGAAATAGTAAAACGATGAAAGAAGATGCAATTTTAAACCCCAAATGGGATGGATGAATGGAGGAAACCACACGCAGAATGTTTGTTCCATTTTGGAAAGTTAAGAAACGAATGACGTCATTCGTGTGTGATGTGTTTTCCCTGACGGCGCATTGTATTTGGGGGTAACAAAACGAAATTTCCGCAAATACTAAACATTTGGGAAAATGTTTTCTCGAAAATCTCGTCTCGTTCATTTGTTTATACCGATCTCAATTTTGGGTTTCCAAATTGTATATGGAATGGACAGACAGACAGACAGATCTCCTCTTTCGCTTTGTACTTTTTATTTGTGTATTTTTTGTTTTTCTTTAGACGTCTTTTTTCATGAGCTTTGAGTTTGTGTTTCGCTTTTCTTTTCTTTTGATTAAAACAATTAAATTCTTTTTACGATTGTGGTTTTTGTGAAAATATGGCGAAAATATGGCCCAACCTTGGCCCATAAGTCGAATGGAATGGCTAAATAATAATCTAATCAGCAAAATTCAGTATTTGGCCGAACGGCAGAGGCTAGAATTCAATCAAAACTAATGGCAGAAGCAAAGGCAGGAGCACGAACTGCAAATTCCCAGAAGAATGAATGCCAGACACACGGATACACTGATCTAAAGTGGTTCGAAACACACGCAAAGAAAAATACAATAACTTGATTAATCTGAACAGAAAAAAAAACAATGTAATTATTGCCTGTTAAGTGATTTTCTTTCTAGCATTACAAAATGGTACATAACTACTCGTATTACCCCTAAGCGAACGGCTACAATTCATTGTTTAAGGCCCTGAATGTGGGATATGTATTCCAGAAGAACTGTCTTTTCCGAGAAGGTTTTTAGTGTTTTTTAATATCCAGAATCATAAAGAATAATCATATGTACTGGTTTGGATCAGACAGATTAGACAGAAGGCATCAAGGAAGTTCATTTGGGTGTTTGAACACCTGGCTTTCAGTAGGGAATCCCATAGAATAGATATCTTATGGCTGAAGGTAAGGGTATCCCCCATAGGTGGTGTCTGTATCTCTCTATGGCTCTATAGCTTTCTCACCAGTTTTTCCACACCGTTGCGTATGAGTAACATTTGCAATTGAACACGTTTGCTGTTGCGTTGTTGCTGTTTTTCCTGTTTTATTTTCAGTTTTTCCATCTTGTTGATAATTCAATTGCCTGCTCGAAAAACTTGGGCGTGGGAATACGTTTTATCGCATTGTATCGTTTCGTTGTTGTTAACTGAACGAAGTGTCGGGGTCTTGCATCGAATTGATTGACTTGCCAGCTTTTGCGCCGATTACTCATACGAGACCGGGCCCCAGGCCGCATGCACTCTATGCTACTTGTTGCTGTCATTGCCATGCCCCAGAGCCACTCTGGCAATTGTGCCCAACAAATTGAAAGTCTTGACAAATGTTTAAGCGAGTGAAAACGGTCGTTTCTTTGAGGATACTAGCTATGGACACAACTGTACCTGCTGCTACTACTGCTTCCCTTTCCTACATCAAAAACTACAGCTTAGGTGTATTGCTGTCACATTTGGTTTCTATATCGTTTGCATTTGAAATATATCTGTAGCCAGTGTTGGTTAATGCGGTTGCAACGCAACTGTACCCCCAGTGCCAGTAATTGATATGCCAGCAGCGAAGGTTGCGGCTGAATCTCGAATCTCTCATTGCCATTGGTCTAGAGAGTGCGATACTATTATTATTATTATTATTATTTTTGCCCTGTTTGAACTCTCGAACTGTGTGGAATATTTGGCCATAAGCCAATTGGCCCAACCTATTGGCTTCATTCGCTTTCTGAAATGTTCCTTCAATGCGTAATTTTTGGCTCAATTTATGGCCTCCATCGATGACGCAGACAATGGCAGGGCCCATGGCTGCTGGATCTATTGTTGTTTGGGGCACAAAAGGCTAATTGCAAGCGGCCAATGCACAATGACCGACACTTGGGATACCCTTCCTCGTATACTCGCAATCTTTCGCTGCCACAAAAGAGCTTCCCCTTCAAAAAGGGTATCCCAATGCGCCACACACTGAGAGAGAGAGAGTGGTGTACAATTTTGGCCTGGTCTGCATTATGCTGCCTGCTTCCTCTTGCACCGTGCCCCGTGCCCCGTGCCCCGTGCCATTTGGCATGTGTAAATGTTTGGTTCATTGAACTTTTCATTTTATGCTTCATTTGCTACAACCGAACAAATGGCAACAAAAGGAAAACAAGAAACAACAAGCCCTAGATGGAGGCAGCAGCTGTGTGCCACAAAAACGAACCGAAGACCACTCACCCTGGAAAAGACCAACCCCCGAACCGAAGCACGAGCATTTCCCTTATTTCTGTAAAGTTTTAAACATTCATCTTGAGCGATGAATATGTTATAAGCAATTGCACAATTGGTCTTTCCTTTGGGATCGTTGCTTTGCCTTCTATAAGTGACTGATGTTACCCTCTGGAAAGAGTATATGTGTCAAAGAAAACACCAATTGGCAGAGGCAGTCGATTGCCGGCTTACATAAGCCGAAAGCCAAGAAAGCAAACCAGACAAACGACAGCAAGAGAAAACTACGAACCGAACGGAACCGAACCGAACCGACTCTGTCGAGCACTGATGTAAGGCAAAAGGTTAACGTTCAATGCAGCAACAGATTGACTTGCCGTCGTCCGGTGTGCTGAGGACCATCAACACGCTCTCTCGGCTCTCCGAGAGACGAGCGCTAAAAGGAGATGGCAAACGGATGGACCCTCGACGGAGAGCAAATGTGCTAAAGAGGCGTCACCTTATTAGTAAATTCAACTTGATCTAAGGGTTCTATCCCATAGATTTTTCACTCCATTTTTATGCACATTTGTTGTATTCCTTTGCAGAAGGCGTGATTGTGTGAGAGAGTGAGAGCCAGGATAACCCGCCATTATGAGCAAGAAGCCAACAGTCGGACCGGCGCTCCACAAGGTCATTATGGTGGGGAGCGGCGGCGTTGGCAAATCCGCCCTCACACTGCAGTTCATGTACGACGAATTCGTTGAGGACTATGAGCCCACCAAGGCCGATAGCTATAGGAAAAAGGTAAGACGATGACCCATCGCCCATCGCCCATCGCTGGATCCTAAATACTACTCTGTATATATGCTTTTAGGTTGTGCTGGACGGTGAGGAAGTACAAATAGATATACTGGATACCGCTGGGCAGGAGGACTATGCCGCCATCAGAGATAATTACTTTCGCAGCGGCGAGGGTTTCCTCTGTGTCTTCTCAATCACAGACGATGAGAGCTTCCAGGCCACGCAGGAATTCAGGTGAGTGTGTCAAGAGGGTGAACCGGTGGCGAAAGGGGGAAAGGGGAGTCTGACACCGAGTGTCAGCCGCTAGCGGTTTTCTTTCTCTACATTTTTTTGTATTGCTGCTAATTAGTCACACAAGCACCCGGGTTTGTTTCTATGGAGACACCAGGGGGCTACACAGGCCCATGCGGTGGCATGTGCAATGCATCTGCGTCTCATAAAGATGCTTGTCGCTATCATTCTGCTGTTGGCAAATATGTATTGTTATTATCAAAGAATTTCAAGCAATCTAAAGGGGTTTTCGTATGGTTTTCTGTGTAGAAAGCATTCCTCAGGGGTTTGGCCACGAATTCTCTACAGAGGACACTTTATTCAGTGCCTTCTCAGGGCACCCTCTAGCCGCTGCCTCAGCTATTCCCATTCCCATTTCCATTTCCCCTTTGACCTAATTTGAGTTCTAAACATTCAGTGGGAAACGCGAACCCTTTAGAATTCTAGGTACATATCTAGGTATTATTGTTTAGCGGCTGGGACCTGCCACACACTGAGGGGTTGACCGGTTTGCAAATACATATCTCATGGGTATATATATATGTATTCCGGTGAGTGTTTGAGTGCCTGTCTGTCGCGTAGCCACGCACTGACTCACCTGCAAAAAAAAAACAAAAAAAAAAACATTGCCATTAGCAGATACGATAAGCCTATCTATATACACACACACGTATATATATACATATCTCTAATGGCTCTCTTTCTGTGTCTCTCTCTCTCTTTTTCAGAGAACAGATATTGCGGGTGAAGAATGACGAGAGCATACCGTTCCTGCTGGTGGGCAACAAATGCGATTTGAATGACAAGCGAAAGGTGCCGCTGAGCGAGTGCCAATTGAGGGCCCAACAGTGGGCGGTGCCCTACGTGGAGACCTCGGCCAAGACGCGCGAGAATGTCGACAAGGTGAGGGCAATGCCTCCTTCAGTTAAAGACCCCCCCCCGGCCACCCCATCGCCAGAGGGGGCCCACAGTCACAGTTACAGGCTACCCAGATACACCTGCACTTGCAATCGCAATAAACAAACACCAATACGAATACGAAATACGAAATACTCTTTCGCAAGCCACAAAATATATGCACAAAGAGCGTTAAAGTCTTAATTTAAGTTAATTTAAGTTCCAAGCATTTCTGTGTGTGTTTCTTGGTTTTTCCACAAATTACAATTTAAGGAAGGAGGCAAAGGAAGCCCACAGATTGGCTGGGATCTGCGGCAATTTTTAAAGATTTTTATTCCAATCTAAGACTTTCCATAGATCCCTAGATCTTGATAGTTATTAACAAAAGTTATAGATGGTATATATCTTAGAGCTCTCTAATTTCTACGATGATTTACGCTGACTGCTTGGCAGTCTTTTAGGGCTATTTCTGAATCTTCTCCAACGACCCACCTAGCTCTGATTTGCTCTGGCATTAAAGCAAATCCCTCTTCCAACAGACACTTACAGTTTTCCTTAGAAACCCCCACAATCGCCATACGAACATACACATGAAAAGGAAAATGCACACTCGACGTATCATTGGGCATGAGTAATTATTGTAAACACTCATTTAAGTCTTATCTTTGCGTTTGACAATAGTCAGAACTTACTTGGAGAACAATTTAAGATTATTTTAAGTGTAAGATCCGATACCAAAAGGAAAACAAGCTGTGTTTCAGTAAGTTCCCTAAGTTTAGCATAATCTAGGGCCCCATAACGAGATCGGAAAGGAAATGTGATTCATTCCATGTTATATCTCTCCCCAAAAATATTTAATCTATCTTTATGCACTTCAGTCAAGGCTTTCTTTCCACTGTCCAAGCAATTTGTGTGGGTGTACTATTTTTTAGTGCTGATAGCAGCTAGCATTGAGGAAGTCCGATAGGCATGGCGAACAACAACGGATTTGGGTATTAATTGTACAATAGAACATAAGTCATGTCTTTAAATTCTATCAAACACTTGAATATAGAAAACAGTATGGCTCAAGTCGAGTTTCGATCATTTGTAATGATCTAATGATCGAGGTAGAACTTCATCTAAAACGTATAAATATCCATCCCTGGTAAGGCCTTAAATATTTCAAGCATATAAGAATCCAATCCATCCAATGGGTTGGAGAGATGTAGCGGACTGTCGTAGGTGGAAAGTGGAGAGACGGAGTGCTGTGCTAGGAATTAAATTCATTTTAAGTTTATAAATTAAATATAGAAAATGGTAAAGTGTCGCGATACGTATGCCGCCACTCTTTCTTCATTCACACACACACACACACACACAGACAGAAACCCACACAGCAATACACAAACACAGACGCAGCTAAAGCTTTACCCAAAAAACAGGAGCAGGCACCACATAACATATAGCGTAGCTTTTGTTCGCTGCCAAGCTTTCGATGTCGTTGCGCCGCTTTTATTTTATTTGTTTTATTTCCAAGAAATACAAAAAAACCAATGCCCTTTCTCGCTCTCTCTCTCTTTTGCACAAGCCGTAGATGATGTGTTTGTGTATTGGTGTTGTTGTTTTTTTTTTTAAGTTTTTTTGTTGATATTTTTTGTATAAAATATAAGTTTTTCACATACGAATTGTAAAGGCTGATTGTTGATGCTGTTTCTCTGATTCTGATTCTGTATATGACTTAATTCCCAATTAAATCCACAATTGCAGGTATTTTTTGATTTGATGCGCGAGATAAGGTCACGAAAAACCGAAGATTCGAAAGCCACGAGCGGGCGTGCTAAAGATAGATGCAAGAAGCGGAGACTTAAGTGTACCCTACTTTAGGCATTAGGTGCATACAAATCCACTACTATTCAAAAAAAAAAAATAAATAAATAAAACTACAAATACCCAAAATACAGTACAACCAACATATAATAACCAATATATAATACAATAACCCATAGATTTTTTTGGTTAAACCTTTAGCTTGAATCTTGAATATACCCAACAATTTTAGCTTGTTTGCCGTTTGCTTTTGGCTTTAAGCACTCTTCTTTCCTTTATTAACCTTTAACCGTTTTTTTTTCTGTTTTTTTTACTTTCATTTAATCATGATATTTGGTTTGCCAACACTACAAACACAACTAACTAACCACAAAAGCTCTTTTCCAACACTGAACTTCTTTGGCCAGAAAGCTTGTACCAGCACTGTTTGCTTACACTGTACATGGGACAGACCATGGGCTGTTCGGGGATCCTAAAACTGAATTTCTCTTCTGTTTCCTTGGCCCTAAGAGGTTTTACTTTTTGGCGCTAAAGCAGGTTCCACTGTATTTCATGGTCAGACATTTGTTTTCTCTTTTGTCAGAGCTTTTAGGATCTAAGACTTTTTGTATAAGATCTAACACACACACACACACACGCACAAAAATGTACATACACCGACATACCTATACAAACACTTATTTTTTATATTTAAATTTTGTGCCTGAAATTTCTTTAGATTTAATTTGGTTTCTTGGTTTTCTTCCTACTTTGATGATCTTTCGTTTTCTGGTATTTTCCGGTAATGATGTGTGTACAGTGGGTTTTATGCTGATGAAACGTACTGTACCCACCTTAACACCCGGAGTGGGATGAAGTAATGGTATCTAAAGTATCTGCCCTGTTTTTGGGTAGAGACTTTAGGAACCTATCCTTTGGTTCACTCTGTTCTTAGTCCTGTATAAAATTTGCTTTCGTTTTTCTCTATATACATCTTTTTTTGGTTTAGCAAACTTTTCAAAATTTCTGTTTCTTATAGAGAAGAAATCGTAACCCCAACACAACAGCAACAACAGAAACGAATTGAATGATATTAATGTATTTTCTTTATGCATATATTCCTTCGATTTAGGTATTTTATGATCTAATCAGGGATATTTCATCGCGTAAAAAACAACGTCAGACGGACGTGAAACAGCCGCCGAAGCCCAATTCTCATTGCTGCCAATTGCTGTAAGATGAAACAACCAACAAACAACAACTACCACATGATGAACAACAACAACAACAACCACAACAAATGCAGCAGCAAACAACTTGCAAGAACAACAACGGCCGCACGGATAAAACCTTCAACAAAGAGCATAACGTTATGTTAATAATTAATTAACTTAAAGAATAAACAAAAAACGCAAACACACGAAAAACAAAATGATTTTCCGCACCAAACGAAAAACGCAAAACACTTAATCCAAGCAAGAAATGAGCATTGTAAAATACATAAACGATATATTAATTTTTTTTCTTTAGGCAACAAACTAAATAATTTTCGCATCTAACAGCCGGCCGTCATGAAAATTCCTTTCGAGTCAAGTTCTGTTTAATTTAAACAAATTTTTTTAGTCGACAATTGAGACAAAAACAAGCCTAAAGCGTAAACTTATTAAATATAATCAATCTTAGAAGCCTAAACAACCAATTATGAAATTCATTAAACACTATAAATATCTCGTTTTTTTTTCGTAATAATTTTTAATTTAAATAGCGAAATGCAAACACACACACACACAAAACAAACAAGAAACCTTACAGAAAAGCTTTTTATGAATACTTCTATATATATTTAAATAAACAACAACAAAAATATAAATAGTTAAAAAAAACCGAAATTGCTAAACAAAAAAATAGAAACGGAAAAATAGAAACTTTCCCATTATTAAATATTAAAATGAAATGAAACGAAACAAATTTTTAAGGCAATTTTTGTAATTTTCTAAACGGAAAGCAAAAAAAACAAAAAAAAAAAACAAATAGAAATAGATATACATACAACAAAAACAAAAACAAAGCAAAAACAAATGCAAAAATTCAGAGAAAACTAGAGAAACGAATTATATTTTTGACAAGCTTGAGAGATTTTCCTTGAACAGTGTTTATTTCTTGTTTTCTTTTGTATTGTAACGCTGAGATACATCCAATACGAGTACATACGCATGTATGCACGTACTATAACTATATAGATACATATGGCAATTTCTCCCAATTGATTTGCTTGTTTACTTTTGTAAAACTGCATTCTGTATTGTAATGTTTAAGCTATTATTATTATGATAATTATTATTATTAAATATATAAGTTATATATGCAATCGATCGATGGATGGATGGTTCAACTTTTGTATCAAGCATTTACCTTCTCCTACCCCTACCCTTAATGCTTTCTGTCAAATTTCGTGACAATTTGTTGCTAATCCCACAAACACGGACACAACACACACACACAAACACACATACACATACACATACACGTTCAAGCACACTCTTTCTCATTCAGAAACCAACACTCGCTCACACGCATACATATGTATATCCAAAAAATAAAATTCAGCAACAAAACGCATTTTTTTTTATATGAATATATATATACATAAATTATGATTACGAGAGTTGCAATGGCGATTGCATGAGCGTACGTTTAGCTTGACTCAGAAATAAACCGAAAAATATGAGAAATAAAAACCAAACAACAACAACAAAAAAACCAACAAAAACAATCGAAATTTAGTTTTACTTTTAATCAATCAAGTACCCACAAAATGGGGAATGAATCGAATGATATACCTGGTCGTCAGGCAGCTCCCTTCGTCTCTCCGACGAAATATGGACGTGCCATGCCAGGGAAGCTTTAGATATCTTTATCTACGGACCATCAGATATCTTTTGCCTCCGTCTCCGTCTAAGATGCCATCGCCCATTGGATCGATCAACAGGTTACGACACCCATGAAATACATATGTAAGTAAATTATTCGTACAATACCTGCACATATATTATTATACCGCCAAGCGCCTACTCCACTGGTGAGTCTTGTTCCGCCATATCTGTGGAGGAGTGCTCTTGAGATCAGATCTCATTCTGTAGAGTGCTGGGAATTCCCATACGATGGGCATGCTCCATTTTAAAAATGTCTCAGGACTTATGCTCCGTCTTCCTTGGTCTTCCTTCCCTTCACTGCTCGAGCTCCTCCGTGTTTTGGCGAGTCCACAAAAGAAATGATATACTCCCCAATTTGTAGAACACATTGTTCCAAGTTTTTGCTTTGAAATCTGTGTATTTTTTTTTTATTTTTTTCGCATTTTCTGTTTTCTTTACACATTTACATTTATATATAATATATAGATCCGTTCTTCATATATACTTTTTTTTTTATATCCATTGTAGTTGATGCCTTAATTCATTTTGTTTTTTATTTTTGTTTTTGCTTGTTTATGCATTTTGTTTAAAATTAATTTTACAAGTTACATTTACAGCTAAAAAGGTTTTCTCTCGTTTACTTCTGGTTTTGTTTTGTTTTTTTTTTTTGCTGCTTTTAAACATTTATAATTTTTTTTCGTGTTGTTTTTCTTTGTTGTGTTTGCTGTCAGCTTTCTCCTTTATAAATATAATTTTTTTGTCGAGTTTTTTTTTCTCTCTTTTGTTGGTGTTTTTTTTTTTCTTGTTTGTGGATAATTATAATTTGCAATACTCCCGATGATTTTTATTTTCAACTTAAAGAAAAAATTTTAATAGAAATTAATAGTTAATTAAGTTAGGCTTAAAAATTCTAAAATGAAATCGTTTTGTTGCTGCTTTTGTTTTTTGTAGTTTTTTTTTTTAGTTAGTACGAATTACACAAAAGTATTAGGTTGGCTACTTAAAAATAAAACTTAAAAAAAAAACGTGAAAAAAAAAACATTTTCGAAAAACTAATTTCCAATTTGTAAATGAAAGAATTTCATAAATTAAAGAAGATAAACTTAAAAAATCTAGTTACGATTTAGGGTTACGATTCCTCAAACGGTGAAACTTGTCTGTTTTTATTATTCTTTATACAATTGCGTTTATGATTAGTAACAGAAATCAAGTAATAAACAGAGACAGGGGCCTATATATTGTATCGTGGATCGTACAACTATATCCCGGGGGCGCAGTTCCTCTTACAGCTTACACAGTAACTACAACATTTTACAGTTTACATTCAAAAACATTTACACAGACACAATCCATACACATACACATACACATATATATTCCATACGTTTGTTAGTTTTCGATTTTTTAAGCTTTTATTTTTGTTTGTTGTTTGTTGTTTTTTTATTTGCATTGCAAGTAAAAACTCTTTCATGTGTGAAAATAATTTTCATTTTCGTCTCATTTGCGGTGAAAATCTGTATAAAAAATGAAGTATATTTTCGTTACTCTTTTGTCCATATTTTGTTTTGTTTTTTGTTTTTTTTTTTTTGGGTATTTTTATTGTTAATCGTAAAAGAAAAAGCCTATTTTTTCAAAATGGTATTTACAAAATATTGAAAAACTCTTTCCGTACCTCTCTCTTTTCTTCCCTACTAGTTCCTGTATATATAAGTATATATGTACTTACATACATACATATATAGATAGATGATATATAGTTTTATATTCATTGCCGCTACATTAAAAGAAACAGCAAATTCCGGAGGAATGCCCTCTCCTTCTTTTGGTGGCTGTCTCTCGTTTCGTTTCGTTATTGTTCCAGGACATATCTTTTGCTAATACTTTTATCAATTCTCCCTTCATCTTCATCTGTTTCGTCCCTAGATATACATACTACATATATGTATATATATATATATTCTAACACATACACATTGAAAAAAATGCTCCAAAATATAACATTTAGTTTTGTTTTTAGTTTTACAGATTTTTGTCTAGTTTGTTTGATTTTTTTTTTGTTTTGCTTAAATCAATAATTGTTGTTTGTTTTATTTTTTGTTTTTTTTTTTGCCTATTTCTATTTTGTTTTTTTTCTCATTTTTCTTTGTATATAAATATTTTTTTATAAGCTTTTAAAACTGTTTGTTTTTTTTTTATCAAAAAAGTTTTGTTTGTTTTTGTTTTTGCGTATGGTGGCATTATTTGTTGTGATTTTTACTACCGTAAAATGTTGTTACTATTTTCGCACACATACAGTGCGTTGCACAGCTATAGAAACAGCTTACATGGCTATGAAACGCACTGTGCTAACATTATATACATATGTCTGTCCTATGTCTTCTTCATATGCATTCGTTCGTGTCTTTCGAAAATCGTGAAGAAAACATACCGGAAAAATGTTACAAAATATATATAAAACTTTCGATTGAAAATGGGTTGGGGAACGGGGTTCGGGGATGGATAAATATGGGATATGGTTTGTATATATACCAAGGGCTCGCGCACAGTCTAGCCGAAACGGGAGCAGAAAGCGGGGCTGAAAGATGATCTGATAGCTCAAAGATATAGTTCGGGCGAAAGTTTTCAGCTCAGCTTTCAGCTAGAATGGGCGCGTGGCCTGGCGGGAGAGGAGGGTACTTAGCTTATTGCACTATTACACATTTAGCTACACAATGTCTACGACGATGCCAGTGTTTGTCTTACCTTGGTTTCACCTGCTACGATGCTCTAATACCTAATTCAAACGGGTACTACACACATATCTTTCGTTATGCTAGGGATGGGTTCTACACCAGTGATCGGTGATCGACAGCTGGCATTTCACTGGTGCCAGCCTGGCCGATCGCTGTTCTACACATACACATACACAAACATGTACATATACATATATGGGGAGGGGGGGGAGGGCTATGCAATAAATTCTATGGTTAAATGTATTTGCACACGCAGATATAACAAACACACAAAATACTCTATAATTTATTTGTATAATTCTATTGATTTGATTTTTGCTTCGTTTCCAGACACACAAAAAGGAGAAGAAAACAACAGAATTCTCACATAAATAGTTGGTTGTCATTTTGCGGTAGTAAAAAAAGTAATCCTTGTTGGCTGTTACGCGTACTCGTTATCCGTTCTCTATCTCTCATTCTCTTTACTTTGCTATAAAAAATGAGTACATCATTTCCTTCGTTTGGTGTTTGGTCAAGAGTAGAGACTACAAAAGGATTTTTTGTGTTTTTCTATAGATAGTATATAGATCTATATGCCTTACCAATATGTTTTGCATCATTTGGAAACTTGTTTTCGTTTTCGTTTTACATTTTAATCATTATAAGTAATCATTTTGTTGTGTGGTTTCTCCCCCTGTTTTGTTTTTTTTTAGGTTGTATGTATGTATACATATACATTATATAAGTGTGTGTGTGTGTGTGTATATTTATAAAGCGTTACCCATTGGTGGTTTCTGTTACAACAGCGCATTTTGGTTTACAATTTCTAATCCTCTTTCGTTTACAATTAAATGTTCTACTCTTAGTTGTTGTTGTTGTTGTTGTTGTTGGTGTTGGTGTTTTTGTTCAGATAGATCTAGATCTTTACTAGGCTATAAAGTAGTACATTATATTTAATTATTTATATATATATAGTATATATAAATGTTGCTTTTTTTTTGCATTTGTTTATGTGTGTGAATTTTTTGTTGCTCTGTTGTTGAAGATTCTGTTGTTTCTGCTCTTGTTGAAATTGCTGATGATGATGTTGCTGCTGGTGCCAAAGCTGTTGCTGGTAAAGTTGCTGCTGCTGTTGATTGTTGTTCGTGTTTTTTGTTTGCTCATTGCTTTTAATCCTTTTGTTGGTGTTGTTTTTTTTTTTTGTTGTTCCTCTTGTTATTGGTGTTTTTTTTTTATTGTTCCTCTTGTTGATGTTTCTTTTTTTTATTGCTGTTCTTGTTGATAGTTCTTCATATGATTGGTCTTGATTGGTGTTGATTATTGTTGAAAATGCCGTGGCTAGTTGTTGATTATTGTTGCAAATGTTGTGGCTAGTTGCTGATTATTGTTGCAAATGTTGTGGCGAGTTGCTGATTATTGTTGCACATGTTGCTGTTTATTGTTGTTGTAGTTTTCTTATATTTTCCCATTTTCCTGTTGTTGCAATTTTTTGTTGGTGTGTGTGTGTGTTTGTTTTCTCCACTGATGCTGTTGTCGCTTGTTTCGGTGTAAAATCATCTATTAAAAAATACCTTTCCTCTATCTTCATCTATCTTTCTTTGCTCTCTCTCTTTTACACAATGATTTTCAAAATCGATGCTAAATGTTGGGCGGAACTGTTTGTTGTTGTTGCAACAAATGTAATTGTTTGCTTTTGTTGAAATCGATGTGTGTGTGTGGTGTGTGTGTGTGTGTGTGCCAAGTGTTGTTGTTGTTGACAAAGAAAATTAGAAGATTCTTGAAGAACAATCATCATTTGTTATTTCATTGGTTTCTAGTTCATCTTCTCATAGTTTTTGTTGGTGTTGTTACATTTTATAAGGTGGGAGCTGTTGCACACAATTCAGTTGTTGTTGCTGTTGTTGCAGTTGTTGTTGTTGTTGTTTCTTTTTTTATTGTTATAGTTTTTGTAATTGTTTGTTGACTGTTGGCTGTTCCTGCTTCCTCCACAAAATTACTGCGCCGTTGTGCCAGCACTGAGCATCAAGAAATTGTAATTACGATCCTTGTCCGCCGGATGGAAGCCTGATTGAAATTCGCAATACGACAATTGAGTTTAGAAAACATAAAATGTTACAGCAACGTTGTGTCACTTACCATTCGCTGATCCCGCAGCTGATGGCACTGCGGTTGCCACTATGGTGGCGCCTCCATTCAGGGCGGTGCCAGGGCCGCCTGCGGCCCCATGATACTTGAGGCCAACGCTGCGCGATCCCAATAGATGCGCGGTCGTCTGTGAGGGCGACGATGAGGAGCTTGACGATGAGCTGGACGACGACGACGAGGATGAGGAGGAGGACGACGATGATGATGAGGAGCTCATGAATGAGGCCGACGACGAGACACCGCTCGACGAGGAGCTGGGCGAAGGCGACGGCGTCGATGGTGTGGGCGAACCACGTGTTGTGGTTGCACCCATCGTCACGCTCGTGGGACTGCCCGCCGGACTGCTCTGCTGGGAGTTATGCTGGATGGCCGTTGGTGAGATGGCCAGAATGCTGCCGTTCTTAATTGTCATGATGGCTGTTCCAGTGGTGGTCCCGTTTCCGGTTCCATTTCCATTACCGGAGATCAAGTGGTTTCCAGCAGTAGCGACAGACACAGCCACAGCTTTCCCACTGGCAGAGGAGATGTGCTTGGAGTTGGTTCCTGCTCCTAATCCTCCACCCACTATTGCTGCTGCTGCTGCTGCTGCGGCGGCGGCGGTTGCTGCTGGTGTTGTTGCATTCGTTTTGCTTATCACAGTTGTTAGCTGATGTTTTGCACGAAACAAACAGAGACAGAGACAGAGATATAGATATATAGATTATCGATCGGTTATGGGAAGGGGCGGGCGCATCTTCTTACCCCAGTTGCACAGGCAGAGGCTGTTGTGGCATCAAACAGTATGGTTGTTCCGTTGCGTCCACTGGCTGTTGCGGATGCTGATGAGCCGGCCGCCAGGCAAACGGCTAAAAAAGAGACAGAGATAGCGAGAGATAGTGAGATGATTGCGCAACACATGAAGGTCGCCGGAATCCGATTGGCAGAACCTCAAGAATATGCTAAATTTGATCTACATCCCGCGCAATATGCAATGCAAATCGGTTTGCAAATCGGTTTGCAAATCCGTCCGTTTGTACCTTTTTCATTCAGTGGAATGCTCTGCTGGTCGGTGTCCCTTTTCAAGCTATTCAATCGCTTTTGCAGCTCAATCTTCTGCTTGGCCAGACGCTCCGCCTCCGCCTCCTGTTCGCGATCCCGCTGCCTCAATTGCTAAAACGATCACAAAAAGAACGAGTAGTAAAAAAATGCCCTGCCATTCAATACCATTCGGTTTAATGATACCCACCTTGACATATTTATGGGCCGTATCGAGTATTATCAAATTGGAGGTCTTCTTGCGATCCTCGTCCCCCATGGGAAGCTCCCTCTTCAGCTGATCGTAGCACTCCTTCAGCTGGGCCCGACGGTTCTTCTCCAGCTTGTTGTGCACCTCCCGAGTCCCAGCTCTGGTTTTCGTGTGGAATCGCAAAATGCATTAGTAATTGGTTATCTCTATGGCGGCTGCTAGAGCTGCTGCACTCACCCGTTGCTGTTGGAGCTGGTTGTGCGCCTCCGTCCGCCGTGGCTTAGCTGTGATCCCACCGCTGGCGCCGATGTCGAAACGGAGGAGCTGCTGGCTATCGACGCTGCTGCCGCCTGGACATTGATGGGCTGGCGGTAGGAGCTGCTTGCGCCGCCCACCCCCCGTCCGCCATTCACATAGCCCAGTGCGTGGTGGTGCTGCTGGCTGTCGCCTTGGCCGGGCGCTGAAAATTTATGGGAGGACAGTGAGTACGAGCGTATACGGGCATTCGTGTCGGCCGCTTTGCGTGTGGGCATCGGTGGCGGGGTGAGTGGTATCCCTGTCTTCCCCAGGACATTCTTCTGTTGCTGGTGCTGGGGGTGGTGCCGCTGACTCTCCTGCCAAATGGCATTGCCCACGCCTACCCCATGGATGGCACCCAACAGAAAGGCGGAGGCGGAGGCGGCCGCGGATGCAATAGCGGTGGAGCCTCCTGCCGCTGTCGCACTGGTGCCGCTGTCTGGCGCCGGGTAGACACTGCCCTTGCCATCCGACACCAGCAGATATTTGCGCGGAATCTCCGATCCACCGCCACTAGTGACACCGCCACTGCCGCTGCCGTTGCTCAGTTTGTGCTTTGCAGCCTGATGGATCAAGGTTGGGGCCGCGCCACTGGCGTTCGCCCGCAGAATGAAGGTGGAGGTGGGAGATTTGACGGGAGACGTTGGAGAGTTTGGGCTACTGCCTCTTTCTGCCGCTGCCACTGCTCTGCTCGCTGCTATCACTGATGTTGTAATTAGTTGCTTCTGTAGCTGTTGGTGTTGCAGCAGTCGCGAGTAGGAGTTGTTGGAGTTGTTGGAGTTGGACGAGGAGTTTTCATCCTCTGAGAATGTGATCCGACAACCAAAGAAAACATAGGGAGAAAAATAAGGAGAAAAAAAAGAAAGAAAAATCATAATAAGAAAAAGGATACGATTTTCCAAAGGCCAAAGCGAAAACCAATCGAGCAAGAACTGCAATCTAAATTCATACCCGCTCCCCTCAACAATACATATACCTTATGGGGCGGGAAACGCTTCCTGCCTCCACTGTCCCCACAAATCTAAACCCTTTCCAATAAGGTTTTCTT